GGGGCGGGGGCGCGCGCCGCCATTTCTACCGCGCCCAGACCGCGGGCTCTCATCCGCGCCCAAACCACCGCACATTGCACGGCAGTCGCGTCTCCGAAGCCATAAACCTGCCCAAATGACGCAACGCTTGCAACCAAAAGCCACACACCTTGTAAATTACACCACAATCGCGCGCCCGAAATCACCCGCCCTCGCACATGAAGCGAAAGTCGCGTTTCCACTACCAACCCAAATTTTCACCGCCCCCATATCGCGCGCACTGAATTCCAAAGGGGGGGGGGGGGGGGGGGGGGGGGGGCGTGGGACACGCAAGAATATATAGAATTCGCGCCCCCGACGCCAGCAACCCTTGGAAAGTTCAAAATTACTGTCCCCGAGGCCATAAACCCTAATGAATCATGCAATACTCGCCCCCCCCGGAAACATAAACCCTCGCAAAATCTGTCGCATTCGTGCCCCCGCATCTGTCGAAATTATCAATACTTGCGCCCCCGAAGCAACAGGCGCTTGTTAATCGCGCAAGATTCGCGCCCCCGCAACCATAAACCTGCATAATTTATGCAATAATCACGTCTCCGAAACCATGAACCTGCGGATATGAAGCAACAATTGCGACCCCGGAGCCATGCGCCCTCGTAAAATATACAATAATCGCGCGTCCGAAGCCACACATCCTCGTAAATTACACGAGAACCGAGTCTCCGAAGTCATAAACCTGCGCAAGTAAAGCTATACTTGCGAGCCCGAAACCAGAAACCATCGCCAATTACGCGCTATTCGCGCATCCGAAGCCATAAACAACTGAAATACAACAACGAATGCAACAAGATCCTCATACTCTCAACGTGTCTTGCCGATTACGCATCGTCTTCGCGCGAAGACCCGACGCTGCTTCACGGCGGCGACAAGACCCCATGACTTCGCCGTCGCACTGCCCAGCGCCCGAGAGAGGGGGCCAGCGGCAGGGGGCGAAGCCCCCGCGGATACTTTCACACGACCTCCAGAATAGCCCAGGGGGCGTCGAGCGGCGGGGTAAGCCTTGGAAACAAGGAGAACAGCTAGGCGCTGCAACTGGAGAGGAGCGGACCCAGAGATCTGAATCTGGAACAGGAGAGACGGCGCCTGCAAACCCTGGTCGCTGATCAAAGCCAGGCGCCGCGAGTGCCAGCCTTCGGGCGCGCAAGCATTGACCTTGAACGAGCGAGGGCGCGCTCGAAAGTAATCCACGCAGGCTCGCAGGCCCCCCCCGCCAACCCCGCGCGGCTGCCACCGCGCGCGCCAGCGGGCTCGACATCCGCCGCCACCTTCAGCCCCCCCCCCCCCCCCCCAAGCAAACTCGATCCACTCGGTCAGGGAAAACCTGCCCCATCAGACAGATGGCCCCGTCGCGCAAACTACCTGACAACAGCGCGGTGTTCTGCAGCAGCCCCTCCAGGACGACCCAGGAGACCTCCGAGAGGACCCGGTGCCGAATCATATCCAGGGGGTTCACGATGGGGGCCGATGATCGGGGCCGCGGGGATCTTCTGGTAAACAGTTGGGACCTTAACCTCCAAGTCCTCGGCGTCAGCGCCAACCAGGAGCACCGCGGGCCGATGCGGCTGCAGAGGGGCAGAGAGGCCGGCGGCGACGCACTCTGTCGCCATCTCGAGGCCCCCTACGTCGCATGGGAAGGGTCGATTGCGCAGCGTCTGGCCTCGCCGTCAACAACAGAGACGCACGAAGGGGTGGCGCGATCAGCCCTAGCCACTACCCTGATCGAATGCCCGGGAAAGATGGGCAAGAGAGCAGAGGGCGCGACGTTGAAGCCCCCTCCCAACGCGCACGGCAAACCCCCCTGCGCAACAGTCGACCCAATGTTTTTCCACAGATATCTACGTTGCGGGGAGATGGTCCTTCACTGTCGCGCAGGTAGGCGGAACGCATGATAATAATCCCAAGACTCCCACGTTGGATAATGCAACTGCATCGCTAGTCGTGGACCAGCCCAGGTTGCGCACGCAAGGTCTCCAAGAACCCATCAACCATAATCATCGCCCCACCAGACACTTGATCCGAGTCGAGGCGAACTCCATTGGACCCACACGCACGCCAGCCATGCTTCTCGAGCCGATTAATGGCATCAGCACGCTGCAGCAATGGCCCACGTTCCAGGAGACACATCACATCCCCAAGACAGGACAGAAGAGGGAGGAGCCGCCTGGCGGACCGACAGAAATTCACCACAAAAATTCACCATGCTGTTGACTAAGGCAAAAAGTGGCCTGGCCTCATCAGATGGCCCTCCTGCGCGGGCCTTTTTTTTTGGGGGGGTCTGGTAGACGCACTCGACGGCTGGGCGCGCCTGGGGCAGCAGGCATCGAGGGCCGAACAAAAAAGGCACCCATGGTGACGACGTAGAGCGAGCCCGACTCCACACAGAAGCTGGTCTCGAACTTCCTGCCACCTGCGTCGTAGTCTCAATAGGCTCCCAGCTGCTCGCCTGCATCAACTCGGCACGGACTTCGCGCGCAGTGCCGAACTGGTCCACAGCGGGCACAAGCACATCGTCATCTGTGAAACTTCTCTTCGATGGCGCACGAAATTACATCCCAGGCGGCGCTTGATCATCATGCGGCGGCAAAACCTTCGGGGCCCACATCCCCTGCACCAGGATGGCCCGATCTCGGCGCATACGGAACTCCCGCCACCCTGGCGCCATCGTCGCTGTCAAAGTGACTGCAGTTTGCCCAGGGTGGGCACCTGAAGCAACGCCCGCGCACGGAGCGGGGTCGCCTCCGATAGCCCGCCCCCTACCTTGCCCACGCCGACAACACCTGCCACCGTCGCCGCGGCCGAACCACTTGATGCCGCAGCTGCACCTGAACAAGATCACCTGCCCCTGCCCCATCTGCATTCCGGCGTTTCTTTCCATTGACCTTTCCTTTGACTTGATCATGTTCTGCTTTGGACTGATTAGTTGTCTTACGCACCCGTTCGAAAAGCACTCTGCCAAGGGCGCGAGCGCGTCCGACAGTTGCGATTATCCAAGCTCCGCCTGCTCCAATTCCTAAGGGCCCCGGCCCCCATAGTCACCCAAGCCGGACACGGTGGAATAGCATGAGAGTGCCACAGAGGCGTTGCCGCCCTGGAGACTCTCGAGGCCGATGACTGCACATGCCTTGGAGTCGACTGGGGGCTGCGCCACCTCAGCGCGCAGCCCCTGGATGGTCCTCCTGGATGGCCTGGGCTCAGACGGCGCCGGCGGCATCAACCTTCTACTGGTTCCCAGTCACCTTTGCCAGCTGCTCATCGAGCCGCTTGCGCAAGGCGGCCAAGGTGTCACTACAGTCACTGAAGTTTCGTTCGAGCCGATCGATGTCTCCGTCTGCCTTCTCCGCCCTCTGCTTCGCAGGTTCAGGCGGCTTGGGCTGGGACGAGTGGCGAGCGAACTCGCGCTGCTTTGCCACTTGGAAGTCGTTGGATTCCCGGGCCATGGCGATAATCTGAATGACTTCATATCGGAACATGTCGGCGACAGAGGGCACCAGACCCGCAGGAGCAGCATCGACATCCACCGTTGGGGGGCCTGTAGTTGCCGTGGCCGAACCACTTGATGCCAAAGATGCACCTGGAACAGGATCACCTGAACCTGCTCCATCTGCATTTCGGCGTACATCTTCCTTTGAGCCTCTCTATGACTTAATCACGTTCTGCTTTGATACGATTAACTGTCTCACGCGCCTGTCCGAAGGGCTCCTTTGCCATAGACGTAAACGCATCCGACAGTTGTGATTATCCAAGCTCCACCTGCTCCAAGTCCTTAGGGCCCAGGTCCTCATAGTCACCCAAACCGAACCAAGTGGAACCGCATGACAGTGCGATAGTGGCGTTGTTTTCCTTGAAACCCCCGAGGCTGATGACTGAACCTGCCTTGGAGTCGACTGGGGGCTGCACCACCTCAGCATGTAGCTCTTGGATGGCCTGGGCTCAGACGGCGCCGGCGGCATCGACCTTCTACTGGTTTCCAGGCACCTTCGCCAGCTGCTCATCGAGCTGCTTGCGATGTCTTGGCCTGCCTTGCCCGACCTTTCCTTCGCAGGGTCAGGCGGCTTGGGCTGGGACGAGTGGGGAGCGAACTCGCGCTGCTTTGCCACTTGGAGGTTGTTGGATTTCCGGGCCAAGGCGATAATATGAGTGACTTCGTCTCGGGACATGTCGGCGACAGACGGCACCATACCAGCAGGAGCAGCACCAGCATCCTGAACACCACGCCTGAAACCACGTTTTCCACCCTTGTTGCTATCCCCCTCCTTGGTCGCGACCTTTGCCCAGTGGCGACCACAGCACTTGCAATTGTACACCTGCCAACTGTTTTCGCCGCGTCCACACGCCTCGCACTTGCAGCGGCGACCGTCTTTCTGCCACGGTGCTGCCATGACTGCGCTGGTGAGGCCGCGGCCTAGACCCAGGCCGTGGGTTTCAACCTTGAGCCAAAATTACTTGAGCAAGAACGGCTTGAGCCAAAATTGCTACGGACCCCTTTTCTCTTTCCTCCTCCTCCTCCTCCTCATCGTCCTCCTCCTCCTTTTTCTTGTCCTCCTCCCTCTTTTCCTCCTCCTCCTCCTCATGCAATTCCTCCCTCTTCTCCCTCTATTGCTTTCATCATCCTGCTCTTCCTGCTCTCCTGCTCTTCCCCCACCTCCTGACTCATCCTGCTATTCCTTTCCTTCCCCGGGAAAAATAAGGAGTACCGATACCGCTGCTCCCCGGATCTCTCCCGGGGTGCGTTCTGACCAAAATTTCGAGGCGAATCCAGTGGAGACGACGAGGACCTCCCAGGAGGCCCGAAAAAAGGAACAACACGACGCGGAGGCAACAATGTGGGTACCCTTTCCTCCTCTGGCTCCCCCCCCCCACTCCCTCTCTCGCTCTCTCTCTCTCTCTCTCTCTCTCTCTTTCTCTCTCTCTCTCTCTCTCTCTCTCTCTCTCTCCCCCCCCCCCTTGGTGGACCCCGCGGCCTCCGCGGGGGTTCTCCTGGCGGTGCGGGGCGTCTGCGCTGGGCCCCTCGCCGATCGGGGCGTGGCCGGGAAGGCGCCTGCGGGCGCCGCGCCGCTCGCCTTGATGGAGCATCGTTTATCCGACCCCTCTTCCCCGCCTCCCGCTCTCCTTCCTCCTCCTCCTCCTCCTCCTCCTCGCTCCTCCTCCTCCTCCCCCCTCCTCCTCCTCCTCCTTCCTACTGCCCTCCCCCTGCTCCCTCCTCTCCTCCTTCTCCTCTCCCCTTCCCTCCTCTCCTCCTCCATCCTCCTCCTCCTCCTCCTCCTCCTCCTCCTCCTCCTCCTCAGTCCTCCTCCTGCCTCCCCCCGCCGCTTCCCCCGCCCTCCTTCCCCCACCCCCTCCCTTACATCCTCCCCGTCCCCCTCCCCTCCCCCTCCCCCCCCTCCCTGTCCTATCCCTTCCCTCCCCCTTCCTCCTCTTCCTCCTCCTCCTCCTCCTCCGCTCTCCTCCTCCTCCTCCTCCGTTTCCTTCTCCTCCTCCTCCCCGCTGTTACGTTAGACCAACCTGAGCGTGAAGCTGTGGCGTTTGTGGTGTCGAAAAAAACAACGTTCGGGTCAATAATATCAGGCGGGTGTCGCGGAAAATGTAATACGACGAGCGTTGGAGAAGACTATTGGAGACTATTGGGTGTGGCGACACTCACGTCAGTGGGAGCACAACAACAACCTAGGATGACATGAATACAAAGTAACGAACCTCAAGACTGATGGTGAATCTCGTCGCGGCTAAGCAAAAACAGTAGGACGGCACGGACCTTACAGAGTAACATCGTATAGGTCATAGGATTCAGTGGTCGTGCCTCCTCTGTATATGCAGTGCATGCAAGGATAATATCAAACGATCGCCATTCGTATTATAAAGCGGTCCTGTGAGGGCAGTTCTCGGGTTGCTGTCCAGGGTGTTGGTGTACCCCAAACCATAGTACTTACCTCCCAAAATCCCACGTATTAGCCTGCCAACTTCCCTCCCGAGGCTTGAGTGAAGCTGACTGCGCGTTGTCGAGCAAATGAGTAGGCTGGCCCTGAGGGCTGGCGTGCGTGCCGGTTTGGGTTTGCAGGTAATACCTTTTATCCAGCGAAGTATGTGCTGTATTCTGTCTGACAAAAAAATTGGCCCTGCGGCCTGGCATGTCATAACCTGTGGCAGTACAGGCTTGCAAGACATGTACGTCCTCCTCCTCCTCCTTCTCCTCCTCCTTCTCCTCCTCCCCTTCCTCCTCCTCCTCCCCCTCCTCCTCCTCCTCCCCCTGCTCCCCCAACCACTCCTCCCCCACCCCCTCCTCCCCCATCCTCATCCCCCGCCCCCTCCCCTTTCCCCTCCCCCTCCCTGTCCTCCTCCTCATCCTTCTCCGCCTCCTCCTCATCATCCACCACCGCGACTATCTCCTCCTCCTTTTCCTCTCATCATTCTCCTCCTCCTCCACCACCACCACCAACCTCCTCCTCCTCCTCCTCCTCCTCCTCCTCATCCTCCTCCTCCTCCTGGCCCCTCCTCCTCCTCCTCCTCCTCCATCCTCATCTTCCTCCTCCTCCTCCTCCTCCTCCTCATCCTCATCCGCCTCCTCCTCCTCCTCCTCCAGGACCCCAGCGGCGACAAATGCCGATGGGTAGTGATAGACGTCTGCAGTTCGTGGAAGACACCACTGAGGACGTCGTGCGTGGGGGCAGCGTCGCATGGCGCAAGGGCACTACAGAAAGTACATAGAGTCGCAAAGGTCAGGCCGCCGCGGGTCCCCCAGGAACATCAAATGGGCTGGCCTGAGCCCCTTTGGCAGATTTACCCCCTAGGTGGGAATATAGGCCGCTTCCTTCGGGATTCGAGGGGTGTTTCCCCAAGTGGGGTGCTGACATGGTGAGGGTCTGGATGGGGAATGGGATGGGGATGGGGTTAAAGGACGGTTAAACGATGCTGATTGGTCCTTTTGCTCCTCGCGCTGCAGCTGGCGCTGCCGCTGCCGCTGCCGCTGCCGCTGCTGCTGCTGCTGCTGCTCCTGCGCCTCCTCCCCCACATACGAGAAATCAGCATCGTCGTCATCATCCCCCGCCCCCCACCACGACCACCACCATGATCATGATCATGATCATGATCATCATCATCATCATCATCATCATCATCATCATCATCATCATCATCATCATCATCATCATCATCATCATCAGCAGCAGCAGCATCATCATCATCATCATCATCATACATCATCATCATCATCATCATCAGCATCATAATCATCGGGTCTCATCATCATCAGCATCATCAATCATATCATTCATAATCCATCCTCATCATCATCATCATCATCATCATCATCATCATCATCATCATCATCGTCCTCATCATCATCATCATCATCATCATCAGCATCATCATCATCAGCATCATCATCATCACCACCATCATCACCATCATCACCATCATCAGCATCAGCATCAGCATCAGCATCAGCATCAGCATCAACATCAGCATCATCATCATCAACATCATCATCACCAGCATCATCATCATCAGCATCATCATCATCATCAGCATCATCATCACTATCATCGTCGCCCTCCTTCTCCTGCTCCTGCTTCTGCTCCTGCTTCTCTTCCTCCTCGTCCTCGTCCTCCTCGCCCTCGTCGTCGTCGTTTGCGGTATGACGGCTTCCCCAGCCATTTCTCCACTGCATGATCCTCCACATCCCTGATCAGGGCAACTCGTCTGGGCATCGCTTCTGGATGGGCTGGTGGGGTTACGCGAAGAATCTAAAATGTATCCTCCTCCTCCTCCTCATTCTCCCCGCCCCTCCTCCCCCATCCTCCCTCTTTCTTGGGTTGCAGGCTCCCAGCTGACTACCTACCAGACCACCCCAACCCAACCCGAAGACCCGAATTTCGGGTTGGGGGGGGTATGGGCTCCATATGTGTTTTTTCGATGTTCCCGGACCCCCCCCCACTAGAAATCGAGGATAAATCTCAGCCTTCGGGTTGGGTTGGGGTGGTTTGGTGGGTGGTGACCAGCATGGGGGCATGCAAATGATTGTGATAGGGGGGGGAATTGTTTCGCTGTCAACTGTTGAGCCCCCAGCCAGTGGAAAGCTTGGGCCAGGGCGGCTGTCAACTGCTGTCGGACGGGGCGAGACAAATACTGCACGAACCAACTGTTTCAGCTCAAAGCTCCATCCGTGCGGCCCCTCAACGGGGGGACCCAGACGGCACTGCCGGGCACAACGCTTCCTCCTGCCGAGTCGAACCGATCCTTCTCCTTGAGCCTCCTCCTCCTCCTCGTCCTCTCCTCCTCGTCCTCCTCCTCCCTCCTCCTCCTCCTCCTCCTCCTCCTCCCCTCTTCTCTCCTCCTCCTCCTCCTCCTCCTCGTCCTCCTCCTCCTCGTCCTCCTCCTCCTCCTCCTCCTCCTCCGCCTCCTCCTCCTCCTCCTCCTCTTCCTCCCGTCGTCGTCGTCGTCGGCGGCGGCGTCGTCGGCGGCGTCGGCGTCGGCGTCGGGGTCCCCCGCTCGTCCAATCTGCGAGGGGGGGCTGTGGAACCCTAGGACCTATCCCATCTGGGGGCCATATGGGGGGGGGGCGCCTGTGAACCGTCGACCTGGAAGCATATAAAGGAATATACGTAAAACGCGAAGGTTTCGAGCCCCAGGGGAAAGACACATCCATAGGAAGACCAACAAAACGCCAAGGATTCCAGCCCCAGGAACCACTGTGGCATTATGCGGCCCAGGCCCCACACGTTTTGCGAATCACGCTTCTCCCTCGAGAAAGCCTCGACATTGCTTCGCGCGGAACGCGCCATCCTCGAGCGGGCACGCAAAAAGTCAATGTTTGCTGATCTTCGGAAAAATGTCAGGGCCTCTAGATATGGTAATGTATCCAGGGTTCTGCGCACAACGCTCCGCACCTTTTCTTTGCTGGGGAAAACGGGCGTCCGCGGACACCGTTATTGATCGAGGCTCCAAGATAGGGGGCGCACTTTCCCCGAGCGGGCACGTGCGAAACGCACTCTTAAAACACACAAGGTCGATCCACGAACCCGGAAAAAGGATTAAGAACTGCGAGGCCTGGGAATGTTCAAGAGGCCTCAGGGGCGATGGGCAGCGCCAGAGCTGAAGATGGCAATGGTGATGCTACTGCGCCGTGGAGTTATGTTGTATTTTTCTGCGCTGTGCCGCGCCGCACAAGGCAGGGGACGCGCCAAGGAACGTGCCAGTGGACGCGCCTGGGGACGCGCAACGTGCCAGGGGTCGCGCCACGGAGCGTGCCAGCGGGACGCGCCACAAAACGTGCCAGCGGACGTGCCAAGAGACGTGCCAGGGGACGTGCCGCGTGACGTGCCCAGGGGAGGCGCCAGGGAATCTGCCAAGGAACGCTCCCGAGGGCCACGATCCCTCGTGAACTGCGTTTGCCGATGGGGGATGGGTACTGGCAGTGCTGAAGATATGCATGGTGCGGATACTGGGTCAGTGGCTGTGTTGTTCGCTACGCAACGCACAATGACGTGCCAAGGGACGCGCCACTGAACGTGCCATTGGACTTGCCAGGAGACGCGCCGCGCGATGTGCGCGCCAATGCTGAAGGCATCAAGTTGGTCCGTGCGGACATGATATCTGCCATGACGCAGTGGATTACGTTGTCTTCTGTCGTGTTGTGGATCAGATCACCCTTGGCACCCGAATCCTGACCGAACTCATCCTGATGTGAAGCTCGAGCTGCCTGAGCGAATAGATGGCCCAATGCTAGATGCAGTAGAAGCGCGTGGGATGCCCAGTCAATTCGAGCTCAAGATCCGAGTCAGCTCCGACGCGGGACGAAACGACAAGGGCCGCAGGGCGCATTGACGCGCCATGGGGGGTGCCAGCGACGCATGAAAGGATGCGCCAGGGGGGCGTGTCAGGGGACGCGGCAAGAGCGCGTTTCTTTATTTTCTGGCATAGTGAGCATTATAGGGAGAGGGGGGGAAGGGGGGGTCAGGGGGGGCGGGCATAATGCAACGCCCACCCCCCGCTGCGCGCGCGGCGGCAGTGCCCCGAGCGCGCCGGGGACGGGGGGGGCTCTGC